TGAAGCATCACAACCTTCATGCCTTAGCTGTTGGTTCCCTCTAAAAGCAAACATAACATATATTGGAACTTTATAATATAACTTAATCATATGATATATCACGCCTAAGCTTAAGGAGAAAAATGCATCAACATACTTATATAAATGAGATGTATAACCTATGATACAATATGCAAACTAATCATGCATTAAACATAAAGTATGCTTAAGATAAAGATGTGAATTATAGGTTATACTTAGATATATCAAATATTATGCATGTCATAGTGAATAATAAATTGAAACATATTATGATAACCTAAGATATGATATATAATGCTAAGCATGATCATGGCATAAATATAAAGGATATAAATTACATGATCTCCTAAGCATGTGATAGCATAGAAACACACACTTTTGAATAAGGATGGCAAATGGGTAGGGCGGGTGTGAATACCCCTTCCTCTATCCTCACACCCACTTCCCAACTACCCACCACCCACGACAGGTAAAATTTTTAACTCCACACTCGCCGAAGCAAATACATTCTCAAACTCATCCCCACACCCATTTCCCAATTGGATACTCACCACCCATCACGTACCCTTCTATATCCACCCATACCCAACAATTTGAGATAGGAGGAACGACGATCTTCAATTCTAAAAATGTTTATACCAAACATTTGGTCACATTACAAGTCATTTCCATTAAAAATCTTAAGATTTACAAAATAATCTCTAAAATTACACCTAAATTCATAATAGTCCAAAATTTATATGTCGGGTCAATTCACTGAACTTCCTCGGATCGTATATCTCAACTCAGCGTGACATTATAACAAATTTTATCCAAATTCCGATATGATCTTAATGAAAATTATAAAAGATTTTTTTTTTGAAATTGTCTTTTTGTAAAACTGAAATGAGTTATATGTTTATTGTTGGAATTATATGTTGACTCGTATATAGCAATTGTTAATATTTGAAAGATTGATTGTTGAATTTCTACAGAATTAACTTAGACGTTTTTGGGATTAGTTTTGAACCTTCAATGCATCATATATCAACTTAATTATTGATTTTATCAACTGATTTTCAGGGCTTTATTTCAGCCATTTGACTTGGGGATAAATAGTTATTATAACAACTATAATGTTGAACGAATCTAAAAAGTTTTAAGGTCAGATTCATCCAGTTACAGCAGAATAATTACAACAATTAATCAACTGTTATTTTCAAAATGAAATTTGTGTTTATGGGGGATTTAATAGGGATGATTTTAATCCCAATTATAAGCTCATAAATAACTGATCTTTTCAGCATTTCTATTCATCCAAAAAAAATATTTTAATCCCAGTTTTACTTTGTGACCTTCTTTTCTCTCATTTTTTCCCGAGTTCTTTTTGTGCGAAGAAAAGTGCAATATTATCGTTGTTCACTCTAACCTTAAAGTGTACAATTATTCAAAGATATTATGTTAATCTCAAAGAACGATCATCTACTGTAGCGATTACCCACATCAAAACAAAATCGTTTCTAAAAAAGTAGTTCATATTATAACACAATTATTTATCTGCTTTTTATTTGTTTGTACTATTATCCAATCAATTCTAACGATTTTATTTTGCAGATTCTTTTTCAACAGAAACGGCGCACGATGTAGCAGGGGAAAGAAAATAAAAGAAAAGAAGGAAAAATAAAAAGGGAACGACACGGGCGGAAGAAGAAATAGGAATGGGGTTGTAACAAAAAAAATGGAATAATCGTAAGGTTAATTCCTGATTTTTAGGGTTTTCAAAAGTGGCAAAGTTTTTTCTTTTTGTAAAATGGTCGTTAATTTTTTTGAAAAATTCAATTTGATCCTAAATCAAATTTTAAGATTTTAAAGAAAGAATCCCTAATTTCTAAGGTTTTTAATTTGGGAAAAAACTGTGTTGCTACATCGTAAGTGAGGAGTTGGAAGCTCTTCAATATGTTATTCTCTTAAGATGAGACAAATACGTAGTCCTGCTATATATATATATATATATATATATATATATATATATATATATATATATATATATAGGATTGTTAAATGAGTGAAATAGATGGTTGAGATAGTCTCATTGTTTTTTCTCCAGTAAATATCTTTACATTTCTTACTTTTAATCTCTGTCATCTATTTTTACTCATCCAACGGTTTTAAATCTGTGTAAAACTAAAAGAGTTTTACATTGTGTAAGATGATCATGCCCCATATATATATAATCCACTTACACAATGTAAAACACTTAGTTTTACATAGATTTAAGACCGTTAGATGAGTCAAAATAGATGGCCCAAATCGACTCCTTGTTTTTTTTTCAAGCGAATATCTTCATGTCCTACTGTCAATCTGAGTCATCTGTTTTCACTCATCTAACAGTCCTAAATATGTGTAAAACTTAAAGTGTTTTACATTGTATAAGTGGATTTTGCCCCTATATATATATATAATTTTATGTTTTTGTCGATTTTGCATACTTATATATGTAACCAACAACGAGATGCATGTATAACTAATTCTTTCTCTTAAATTGTGAAGACTAGTTTGTATAGAATTTAAAGAAAATATGAAAATGTGATGTTCAATTACCACTTTATTAGTCGATGAAGCAAGGGATTACTTATCCCCAAAGGAATTCGGGTTCTATACACATGTTCTTTTTGAACTTTTCTTATTAAAAATTTGTTTTATTCTTAGTGTCACACAAACATCTCCTGTTCCATTCATATGTTGAAGTTATAATTTTAAAAAAATAAAAATATTACAGAATCTAATAAGATAATGATAAGAAATCACGAGTTTAAGGAAAGAAACAAAACAAGCACACAAATTTTATTCACAACAATTGATATGGTCATTGCAGAAGGTGGTGGCCTCAATGGCGACCGTCCTATTTGGAAACCTTCAGCAAGACTTCGACTTTTGTTGCTCACATTTATGCTTTTCTCATGTTATTTCTCACTCTGTGGCAAACATACGTAAAAAAGTGATGATTTATGTCTCCTTTTGAGTAGTGATAAACAACTTAGTGAACTCAGATTAGAACTATAACTAATTAAAAAACTCTTATCTGAGTATTCAATGACCCAAAGGCCTTAACCTTTATTCTTGGTGTAACATGAACATTTCACTTTTCATGTTTAAATAATAATTTAAAATGAGTAAAACACTACCAATTTATTAGATGATGAAGCAAAGGATCTCTAGTCTCAAATGAACTTAGGTTATAAACGTATTAGAGTGATTAAAATATAATATCTATTCAAAAAAAAGTTAATCATTGATAATGTGTGCATATACCTTTAACTGTTTGAACACAAGATTTTAAGAAGACTAATATTTCTTTTAACCAGTAGGTCACTTGACGACTTATTTAACTTTTTAAAAAATATATATTACTTCTTTTATGTGTGACGTGAACATTTTTTTAAATATTACCACTCCATTAGATGATAAAGCTAAGGATTATTAATTATTTTTTAAAAAAAAAAATCGAGTTGTACCACATTTTCTTGTGACTTTTCTTAATATAAATGGCTTTATTCCAAGTGTCACATGAATATTCCTTTTTCAATTTTTGAGGTTGAAGTGAATACTAATTTAATTTGTATCATTTACAAATATTAAATTTAGATTCTCGTATCTTATTTAATAACTCATCTCGTTAGATTAAAGATCACTTGATAACATGATAAAACAAAGGACCACTAATCCTCAAAGGAACTCGGTTTCAATAAACATTTTTAATTTTTTATTATAAATTACTTTATTCCAAATTTCACAAGAAAATCTCTTAGATAAATTATTTGGATATCGTACTTATTTTTTTTTTTTAATTTTGAAAATGTTACACACTCGTTTTTATTTTTTAATCTAGTTTAGTTGTATGGTAAAAGTAGAGTTGGTCGAAGTACATACCGACTTCATTGTTTATTTCAATTTTTTAAAGGATTAATTAGAAAATAAGTGCTCAGACTATAAATTTTTTTCTGAAGTGGTGCCTAATGTTTTTTTCCGATTCATCCAAATACCTAACGTTACCACTTTAAGTGCCCCGATCGTAATGGCCATTAAAAAATTATGTTAAGTGGCGCGTGTCACATTCTATTAAATTTAAAAATTTTATATGAAAAAATAAACTTAAATTTTTTTATATTTTTAAAAACCTTAATTTCTCTTAAATTTCAAAAAACCTCAAATCCCTAATTCCAAACCCCCATACCGCCGCCCATCTCCGGCCACCATCGCCGATGCCGAATGGCCACCCATTCATCGTTGACTTCACTTATTTTATAATTATAAAAAAATGATATAGTTTAAACATTTATTTTATAATTAAAATCAACATCGATATAAATATATGCCGACTTCACTGCTCATCATGCTTCAATAAAAAAAAACGATCTCTTGAATAGAATGATTAATCTCTCGAGCAAAAAATATAAAATATTATTTAAAATTATTATTTATGGCTCCACGAGTTAGTTTTTTGTTTCAAGTATTTATATAATTAATATTTTTATAAATCAATCTCGAGATTTATAAAATACAATTGAAGGTTAATTTTAACTTAAACTGGTCCAAAATTTTATTTTATTTTTCCTTATAACCTTAAGTTCATTAATGAAAAGGAAATTCTAAACATTATTCAAAATATTTAATTTAGTCTCTAAAAAGTATTTTTACAATTTCCTTAATATTAGCTGCGATTAGTTTGAGACTGCTGTTTTAAAAGGAAATTATTCTCTCTGTAGAACACCTTATGCGTTCTAAACATAGATCAAATTTGAAGCAAGGCATATTTAAACCTTATTATTATCGTAGATGAAGCAAGGCTTTGCAAATTCCCCAAGGAGCACATCTTGTGTTAACCATCTGCAGATTCCTTTCCAATTCTGCCATCTGTTTGGAATAGAAACTTGGTTGTTTCAAATTGATTAAATCTTTGTTCCTTGAGGATTCGGTGTTTTTAATTGTAATCATTCCAAAGATTTTAGTGTTGAAAGAGTTCAAATTTATACTCTCTGCCTTTTATTTTACAAATTCTTAAATCTCTTTTTGCAGGCTACAAGATGGCAGCACAGAGTGGAAGATCAAATGAAAACGTTGTGATCGATGTTCAATCTTCGTTGGTATCTTCTCTGAATGTTGAACTGAGGGATGCTTGTATATCCATGCACCAGAGCTACTGCATCTTCAATATCCCCAGCATACTCTTCAGGCACAATGAAAGCTCGTTTCTCCCCAATTGTTTCTCCATCGGCCCAATGCACCGTGGCAAACAGCACTTGGTAGCCGTTGAGAAAATCAAACTCAAGTACCTGAAAGGTCTCCTCTGCAGGGTGAACGAATCCAAGCAGATTGAAGAACAGAAAGTTTTATCTGATTTGGTTAATGCTGTTAATTCGATCGAGAAACAGGCTAGCGCTTGCTATGCAGGGCATGATTTCGCAGAGGAATTGGGTGATGAATTCGTCAAAACAATGCTGCTGGATGGCGTCTTTTTAATCGAGCTGTTTCGTAGAGGTGTTGAACAAGAGAAGGAGACTGATGACCCCATTTTCTCCATGTCATGTATGCTGCAATATCTGCATCATGACTTGATTTTGCTTGAGAATCAAATCCCCTGGTTAGTGCTTGAAACCCTGTTTGAAAAAACCAGGATCCCTTGTGAAAACAAGTCGACCCTGATTAAACATGCCCTTTCCTTCTTTGCCAACACTTTCACTTCTGATCAACCTAAAACAAGCTGTTTCAAAGAAGGACAAGAGATCAAACATATTCTTGATTTGTTAAGATTATCATTGGTGCTACCATCCCAAGAAAACAAAAACAAACCTAAAGCCGGATGGCAACCGATTCGTTCCGCAACGAGGCTCAAAGAAGCAGGCATAAATTTCAAGAAAGGCGAAGCAGATAGCGTGTTGGACATAAAGTTTAAAGACGGATGTGTCGAAATCCCGCCGTTGCTTATCCAAGAGACGACGGAAACGATATTCCGGAACCTGATCGCCTACGAGCAGTGTTTGCCGCATTGTCTACCTATTTTCACTTGCTACGCCAAGCTCCTTGATGGCCTTATCGACACCAACGATGACATGGAGATACTATGCAAGCGTGACATCTTCGATAACTGGTTGGGGCTCGAAGATTCAACCAAGTTCTTCAATAATCTTTACAATGATACTTACGTCAAGGAATTCTATTATTCAGAACTTAGTGATAAACTGGATGATCATTGCAGAACGTGGTGGCCTCGATGGCGAGCAGCCTTAGTGCACAACTATTTCACAAAACCTTGGGCTATGGTTGCTCTTGTTTATGCTGTTATCATGTTTGGTCTCACGCTGTGGCAAGCAATAAAATAGAATCCATGTACGTCTCCTTATGAATAATAATAAAGGGGAAAAAATCTTATTGATTGGTTTTAATGATAATAAGAAATGTTAATTTTTTTTAAGAATTGGGATTTAAGTAATTGTATTTAACAAAGATGTTGATGTGAAAGTTAATAAAATTTATATATAATTATATATTTAATATTCATTACTTATATAATATATTAATTTAGTATTAATTTGATCAAATTTATTTGATCATATAAAAGGGAAGTTTAAGTATGAACCAAATTAAGTGGTTAAAGGAATGATTGATATTCCTAGAAGTCTCATATTCAAGTATCAGAGACTATAAGGTATTTGAGCGTTTATTGTCAAATGATTAAGAGTCTTTAAAATAGTTATTATCAGTTATAATTACACCCTATATTAATAAAAAAAAAAAGTGAAAGTTTTAACTCTTCACTTTATAAGCCGAATGTTCTTTCTTTCATCCTTCTTCTCTTCTTTATTTTTATCAAAAGAAAACAAAAATAAATAACAATATCAATTGAGTTTTGTTATACCTCGAATATAGCCTCTAATATCTTATAATTTTCGTTAAATAGAATTCACATAAACTATTAGGTTTCCGTTGGTAAAACTCTTTACAACTCTTCACTTATCAAAACTTCCTATAAAACTGCATTCTCCATGCATAAACCATCAGTTAAACTAAATGCACATATAAGATTAGAACATATCCATGTAATTTACCATAACAAAATTCAAGGTCCAACTGACAAATTTATTTGTCTGTTCGGTTTACAAATAACCATAACTATATACCCTTGACAACCCAATTAAGAGTCACTATAAATATTCTGATTTTAAATTGTTAAAAGGGGTCGAACGTTTAACAATCTACTCTTTACTTTCATCTTTTCCATTATGATCAACTCTCTCTTATAGAAAAATATTGATCAACATTTTTCATTTCATAAATTGCGCATCTCTGCTCAAATTAAAAAAGAAGTAAATTGTTAACCACATGAGATAAATTTATTTCTATAACAATTTTTTATTTTTATTTAGATGTATAAAATTTAAAATATTATAATAATTTTTAAGAAAAATATAAATATAATGGTTATATTAATCGAGACGGAAATCGTTTATAAAATCGTTACTAAATTATGAGTCATGATTAATGATTGATTAATATTGTAATGTAAATTGTGGGTCGTTAACAAGATATCATAGTTGATTTTATGGATCAAACAAACCGCCGGATAATGACTTGGATTGGACAGGGAAGGCGTAGGTGTGGCTTTTTCTTTGGATTTATTTTATTATATTAAGCCAACTTTTGCTGCTTTACCAATTTCCCTTTCCACGTTTGGATTGTTCTTCCCCGTTCCACCTCATCTCTACCGTGCAACACATTAAGAATGCGTTTGGTTCACATAATATAATATTACCAGTGGGAATAAAAGATTACCATGGAATAAAATTACTGTGAATGTTATATTTTGTGTTTGGTTGGTTTAGCAGGAATATAAGATTACCGTGTTTGATTAAAAGAATAAAAGATTATTGGAATGTATATTTGACCAAATTGTCCTTATTATATATTTGTTTTTTTAACAAGTTGGAATTTTCTTTAAAAAAAATTAAATTCATAAAATTTATATAATTTTTTTTACAAAATTAAAAATATAAAAAGGTTTAATGAAAGGGTAAAATTTTATTTTAACCCCTGAACTTCATATAAAATTTTAATTATAGATTTTTTTATAAATCTAAAATAGTTTAAGGATAAATTTGTAATTTAACTTTCATAGAATTTTTATTATTCAATGATAGAATAAGGATATTTTTTAAAAAACAAAAAATTTAAGGGTATTTTAGTCCAAAACATCAGTAATCCAACAATACCTAAGGAAAGGGAGGTAATGGCATTCCCGGTAATATACCCCAAAAAATTCACTATTGGTAATGTAAGATTACCGGGAATGACATTCCCGACCAACCAAACGGGGGAATGTGGATTACATTCTCATGGGAATCTCACATTTCCCCAACCAAACACACCCTAAAGTGAGTTGAATATAAACAAATAAGGTGTTTATAAATATCTAAACTCAGTCTTTCTACTTCCCAATTACTTTTTCTTACGAGTGAGCATTTGATTGAGTCGAGTCAAAAAAATTTAAGTTATTCGAGTTTGACAAGTCATATTTTATAACTCGAACTTAACTTAAAAATTTTTCGAGTCTAATCGAGTTTAAGAAATTTGAGTCGAGTTATTCAATTTTCTATAGTAGTTTTATTATAATTATTTATAGAATTATGATAAGTATTTGTTTCAAATTTTTTACTTTTTCTAACCATATAAAAATAAATGGATGTCCCTTTTTTCCCATATGTATGGGGTAAGGGGAGGTAAGATAGTATGATGCTCCCAACACCAGGTTGAGAGCAGCTTTCGTAGGAGACCTCCGAATTATGAAATGCCCTCCGTGGGACTCGATCCCACGACCTCAAGATTAATAACCTTGTGCTCTACCAACTGAGCTGGATGATCATTTCCTTTTTCATTTCTTTCTAACCATATAAGATATATATATATAATATATATATATATATATATATATATATATATATTATTTTCACATTATAATATTATTTAATATATCAAATACAATCTAAAATTATAAAATATAATCATAATTTTATATTTTAAAGAAAGTATTTTAAGGATAAAATATTGGTTAGAATATAAATACGTCAATGAATTGATGGGAAAAAAGAATTTGCAAATAATTGTAGTCAAAAGACCAAATTGAGTAAAGTGCAAAGTTAAGGGACTAAATAAAAAAGAGAGTACATTTGTTTAGTAAAAAAGTTAGAATTGAAGTTACATATATATTCTATTGTAGTATATGAGCATGTGGTTCAAATTTGGTAAAAACAGACTTAAAATAAAGGATGAATTAAATAAATAAAGAAATAATGAAAAATTGAGGTATTAAATTGAAAATAGAAAATTTGTTATCAAAAAGTGGAATTTAAAATATATATTTATTATACGATGGTTTAAGAGCATGTGGTTCAAATTTGGTAGAAGAAATGGATTTAAAATGAATAAGAAATTGAAGAAATAATGAAATTAAAGACTAAATCGTAAAACTGTCAATATACTTGGTCAAATTTTTTATTTTTCGAGTAACTCGAAATTTCAAAATTTTAACTTGACTCGAACTCGAAAACCTAATCGATAATTTGAGTTCACTCGAAGAACTCGAAATTAAAAAAAAATCGATTTTTCAAGTCGAGTTGAGTTTTGTTCACCTTCTTTTTAGTTCACTTATTTGATGTTTATGGACGCGACGAAACCATAAATTGTTTGATCAAGAATTTCAAGCAAAGGAATCGGTGTTATAATATAGTATAAGGGTATGTTTGTTTCACAAAATTTTTTTTTATAAAATGAATTATATTTTATGGAAATCATTTTATGGTGTTTTGAATGTTGTTAAGTAAATCATTTTCCATTGGTGTTTTAAAAATTATTTATTATAAATATCAAATTCAATTAATAATATTATTTATTAAAATTATATTATTGTTTTCAAAATATTAGAATAAATTATTTAATATTATTTATGTCAATATTATTATTAAAATATTATATCTACAATTTTATAAATAAAAATATAAAAATATTTTATTTTATTAAAATAAAATTATTATAAATTATATTTATTATTTATTAAAATAAGAATAATATATTATTAATTATATTAATTATTTATTAAAATGATAATATTATTAAAATATTAAAAATAAAAATATTAAAATAAAAATATGATATTATATTTTAAAGAGCTTATTCAAAAATTCAATAATTCAATAATATTATTGAAATAATAAATAATATTAATTTTATTAATAATTTATTATATATTATTAAAATAAAAGTATAATATTGTTTATTATAATAATTTATTATTAATAAATAATATTAATTTTATTAATAATAATGTCTTGCATTCTTCCATGTCCAAAAATGAAGTCGAGGCAATAAAATTTGTGCAATTTTTTAAGGGTAAAATATATAAATGGTCACTAAAATAGGTTGAAATGATCTTTTAACTATTGAAGTTTTTCAAAAATAATGAAATGATTATTCAACTTATCATATTGTTATAAAATAGCTAATAAAATTTATCAAACTATTACAAAACATTCATTAAACCTATCAAACTATTACAAAATAATCATTGAATTTATAAAAAAAAAATATCACTATTTTATAACGTGTAATGATTATATTATAATAATTCAATAAATTTAATAATTATTTATGATTTTTTTTAAATAATAGTAAAAAGTCATTTTAATATTATTTAATTATCATTTTTATACTTTACCTTTTCCGAAACATGTATAGAATGAGATCACATGTACATTTGTTGAAATGAATTAATCATTTTATTTTTGGAGAGAATTAATCATACTTTAGATGAAGCAAAGTTGAGAAAAGAACAATGATTGGCATATGATTTGAATACATGAACAGTCCATATATTTTATTATATTATACTTTAGGTATCATATTCTATAGTATAGTAGCTTTGAAGTTCAAAGTTTGGTATTTAATTAGCTCAAAAATCAATAACATAAAATAATAAAGTTTGTTTAACTACTAGATATAGGTATTGACACGGAATTAACGTTTCAAAAAAATATTAATTAATTTTTAATGATATTATAAAGCATTTGTTAGCACAGCCCATAATAATATAATTCAAAAGATTTTAATAATCATTTTATATCTATTTGAAAATTTTAATAATTTTGTATATAATTTAATTTTTTAAATAATTAAGTTTTACATAAGTTAATAACCTATAATATAATTTACTGACATTTAAACATAAAAAATATATATTATTTAGGCAATTATTTTTCAATCAAACCTTTAATTAATTAAATTTTTGTCACATCAAAATCTTAAAGTGGGTCCAAAATTAGTATAATGGTAA